GCAGATGGGGGGAGGGATGGGAGGTGGGGTGTGGAGTGTTGGGGGTTGATGATGATGATGTTTGAGTTGTGTATGAGTGGGATGGGGTACATAGATGGATGGTTGTTCAGGTCGTTGGGGATAGAGGGTAGGGAGTGGGATTGGTGTATATAATACTTACCCTTACTTAATCCTTGCAGCGAATGAAGGTTGGAGGGAATAATAGCGGCTTTATGAAGTCTTTGAAAAACAAGCAGGCTTTTCTTGTGGTGTGGTGTGGTGTGGAGTGGTGTGATGTGTGGATGGAGTGGATTTTGCGTTTATACTATTACTTGCATTTTATATTTTTCGTTTCTCGTTGTAGTTTATGTAGTAGTACACCTATGACTTGGGCTTCCATGGGTAAGGTGGGTGGGAAGGGAATAGGGGTATAGGGGTACTGTTTCTCTGCGTGTCTTACTTTTCTGTTGTATTCTATTCTATTCTCGGTGTTCTGCTCTGTAACTATCTTTTCATCTTTGAATTACTAGATAGTCCTAACTATCGGCAAGTAGACTTCCATTCTATTCCAGAGGGGGGGGGTATAGAATATTCTATTTCATCAAAAGTAATTCTAGAATTATTCCATTTTGTTTGTATAGAGATATCTGGGATATCAAGGTAAAGAAATAAGGTGTAGAATAATCAGTCAGTTGTTGTCTAAGTGCTAAGGAGTGGTGTTATTCGAATACTTATAGTACTCAAATAAGTAGGTTTAATTATATAATATAAACAAAAGCGGTCGCATATATCCTAACAATTCCATAGGACCAAGTTATCGAACCGGGAAAGGGTTTATATAGTCCGATTAACTAATAGAAGCTTAGGAGGAAGTCTAGGTTCGGCCGGGTTAGTACGTACTAGGAATATTAATTGTTTTAAAGACTAATAATATAAGCGTTAGATAGGGCAGTCGAAAGAAGTACTTAGTATTATGAATTTTAATACCATAAATAACTATTGTAATATAGCTTGTCTATATACGACCCCTTGAGAGATATTAGAGAAAGTAACCAAGAGGTTAAGAGAAATTAAGTAGAAGTTATATTATAGTATAAAATCGAGTAATATTTACTTTAATTTCCCTTAAGTCCTGCCTCCTAATTAGTTAAAAACTACGTGGAATCGTATAGGTCCATGGGATTCTAGAGCCTACTCGATTCATTCCATTCTATATATAAGGTGCTTGAGAATATTCCTTTTGGAATAGAATTCCATAATTCCATGGAACCGAGTTCTATTTGCCGATCGTTGTTGGAGACTTCAGATCTTATAGGCTTGGCTTGGATAGGCTTTTGAGATGGGTTTTGTGAACTTTGTATATGATACGGGGAAATCAGAATATTGGGAGGTTTAAGTTTGGGTGATTGGTGGGAGGGAATTGGAAAGGCTTTTGAGATGGGTTTTGAGGGGGTTCTTTAGATGAGAGAATGATAAAGGAATGCTTTGAGGGGAATGTATGAGATAGTGGAGAGGATAGGAGAGAGGAGAGGAGAGGAGAGGGTAGATGGATAGGGACGGGGGAGTGGAGAGGAAAAGAGGGGGAAAGGGGAGAAGGGGGATAGGAATAGAGTATGGCGGGTGAGGATCTGAGAAGAGGGGTTGAGAGTGAGTAGTAGGCGAGTAGGAGGCAGTACTTGGTTTTTTAATTGGTTTTATAATTTCTTGCTTTCCATTTTTGTATTTTTGTGTTTTTATTTTCTACGAGTTACAATAATTAGTAATAGTAAAGTATCTATAATCTATATTCTTGATTCTGGGGTATAGGTAATAAGGCTTCACAGCTTGAAAGTTAAACTGTTTTTTGCGGTAGAGGAGAGAGGTTAGGTTAGGAAAGAGAGATAGGAGAGAGAGAGAAGAGGTAGGGAGGGAGTGTATATCTCTTCCAGACTTGAGAGGAACCAAAAAACGTACACTCGAAGTGGTTGCGGTAACTAGGTCCTGCTACGGCTTAAATGGTTGGAAATACGATCCAATTAGCCAAACAACTTTGTTCTACGGGGGGATGTTATAAAAATGGACACTTTTACTCTACTTTAAGTGCACGTTTTCTTGGTTACTTTCCTGTTTGGAAGGGATAGATAGGGTAGGTATATATGGTGGATAAGGGAGTTAGATTCTTACCCTATTCAGGATTTAAATATTTAGGATTATATAATGGTAGGTCATTACAGTCAGTAGTGTGATGTAGTAGAGGAATTGGCTACACGCACGTGATAATCCTTGGTATCAAAGGAGGGGATATTTCGTAACATTTAGAATTGGAATATAGCTAACAGCTAGAGAAAAATGTCATTCCTAAACCGTCCGAGCCATTCATTCATGAAACTCTGGAAGCTGTTTCCTGATAATATCCCCAATCACAAAGTGACCCTCTCTTTCCGCATACCATACTGCTTCCATGGCCGGTATCGCTCCGTTGTTCAGCAGAAGAACAACTGTATCAAGACGTCCCGTTTCTGATGCACCTTCCAAGGCTGTCCTACCCTCTTCTTCCGCGCCTGGTGCATTTGGGTCCGCTCCAAGTTCCAAAAGTCGCTTGACAATGGTGATTTGTCCTTCAATTGCAGCTCCTTGTAGTGCGGTTATGCCCTCGGATTTTCCAGCCGGGGCATTTACATCTGCTCCTTTCTGTAGTAGGAAACTTATTAGCTTTTCATTAGGATTGAAGTTTATGACAGCAGCTTGAAGGGCTGTCCAGCCATCTGCCCTTGGTGCGTTGATGTTAGCGCCTGATTCTATTAATAGGGATACAATTTCCAACCATGTGTCCGGAAATTTGTTCCAATCGCTCACACGTATTGTAAGAGGTATCGGTTATATACAGAGTGTATATAAGACAGTGGAAGTAGGATGCTCAGATGACTGTTAGGTACATCGGGAATCAAAAGAGTAAGAATTTGACTTGTGAAAATGACTTGATTTTTCTAACTATAAGGACAGTAAAGGTCTATATATACTCCTGAGATAGATTCTAGGAGGTTCTATAGATTATAAATAGAATAGAAGTGCTTATAAACAGAAATGGATACTAGAATGTTTCGGTTCACGTGATCGAACGTTCTAGAATAAGCGAGAACAGACTAAGGTTTAAACCTAAAGTCTATTAGTAAGTAAGGTAATTATTACCTAAATGAAACACGTATGGCAATATGAAAGGCCGTCTCAGCAATGTAACGTTCTCATTCATGTGTGACTGTATCAATGCCTGATCCTTTTGATAACATCGTTTTAAGTACATAATACACGGACTGTAACATAACGACGTCTGTAATATATTTGTCTCCACATGTGTGAAGTAGCGTATAGACTGTGGATGGTATATGTATTTTCCTGTCACTTGATAGGGAGGGAGGTGCGATGGGAGTCGCACCAGCTTCCAAGAGGATCTGAGCAACCTCCAGTTGGCTTTCAATGCTGGAATCATGATTTTCTTAATCCACTGACAGCCGGAGTGCCTCGTATCCTTTGTAGCAGTGTGTTTCAGGCTCATGTTGCAAAGCCCCATAATGTAGCATTGTTTGGACAAGTTGGCCACATGCCCAACCAAGGCTTGCCTTGAAGCAAACAAGTTGCAATATAGTACGTTGTTGCTCAGGAAAATGCCCTGCCTGATTGCCTTCGAGCAGCTTCAATTCGACTCCTTCCTGAACCAACTTTGCAGCAGACTCCATTTCATCGTACTCGATGGCCGTTATGAGCACGAATTGCTGACACTGCGGCGATACGTTCGTGATTATTTCCCATGGCAGATCGTGTAGGACCAATCTCACAAGTTCTTCCAAAACGCTCCATAGGCCTTCATGATGGAATAAGTTGTCTCGAAGTAGCTCCTCAAGTTTCATTGATCCCTCGAGGATATTCTGGAAAAGTTCACCATCCTCGACGGCCTTCTTGACTGAAAGTACAGTAGGGTCCTCGATAGAGTCTTGGATAGGTTCCCGGATAACCTCACGTACACCATGGAGCATCAGCTGGGACACCAATTCAGGGCGACCTAGAGTATGCGCTACCTCAATCAACGATTGGCCGTAAAAACTCCTAATTTCAGCGTTGACATTGAATCGGGTCTTCAGGAATAGGTCTATCAATTTGGGGAGATTTTTCTCAATACTGTACAGTAGCATCTCGTGCCACCCTTCAAAAGCAGGGAATCCTTGTTTGACGTTTTCGTCGTCGCAAGCAATGCAATTTCTTACATGATCCTCGTCGGAAAGAGAAATGTCGTCCGGTCGAAGGTTAACCCGAAACCCGACTTTGAGATCAGCTTGACGAAGCAGCCAGAATGCTTCGGAGTCTCCTGTGTATAATTCTTGAAATTTATTCCGGCTTTCTTTGGCATGTGTATCAGTTAATGATGGAGCCTCCAGGTTTTGAGTCGCCAAAGGTGGGCCTGCACCGACGGATAACAAGTATCGAACCAACTTAGAGCAGCCCGGTACATCCGTGGCACAGCTAAGTGCTGTCCAATTGGCACTCGCTCTCCAAGCTGGAAAAGTCGCATTCAAATCAGCGCCCGCTTCTATCAGCAACCGAGAAGTTTCAATACTATTGGCAATTGCCAGTAGCGTGACGGGCCGTCCTTCTATTATAATGGAAGCATTTGTGTCAACGCCTTCCTTCAGCAAAATAGCAACCATATCAATATGATCCAGTTCTAACGCAGTAGTTATCCTCCGCGTTTTGTTTCCCGCGAAGATATGGTGTTGTCGATCCGCAGTAAGAAGAGTTCTGGCTGCTCTATACACTGGCTGCATTCTAGGAGTATTAATGGATCTGTTTTTGAGAGTGTACTCGTGACTGTCTGTTATATTAGAATAGCCTTAATTTCAAGAGAGGAGTTATGGTCTCACCGGTGGAAGTCAAGAGTGCAGTGGACCAGATTTTCAAGAAAGACCTGAATAGAGGGCAGTTTTAAGTCGAATAGGGCTTCAAGTATTGACATCTTCTGAGCTGCAAGCCAAACTAAAATATCTCTTTCACTTTCCAATCTTCCATTTGACCCAAGCTGTATAGCAATTGCAAGGGCTTCAAAAAATGCATCCGGAGTTGAAGTGGGACCAAGCAGTCTATCAAGCCTCCTCTGCAAATCCCCTTCATGCCTTTCCAACACGTCAGAACTTAGCATTTTGTGTATAGTACTGCGCACGCTCATAGTCAGACCACCCTGATATGAGAGTGTGGGATAAATTCCAGAGCAGAATGTATTGAGGACAAAGAAGTAAACAGTTCTTCTCATTCGAGGAAATAATTCTGCTTTTTTAAAGATGAAGCGTAGACGCATCTCGCGTGCGATCTCTTCCGGCCCGAGGTTTTCAGATACGGACAACTCTGGATCTTCCTTAGCGGATTGTAAAGATTTAAGAAACATATCTCTCAAGTCTGGTTGATATGGTGTATATTATTAGCACAGTACAACAAATAAAGAAGACAAGCTGCATTACGTACGGGGAGACTCCACGATTCTCAAAAGTTCGAAACTCGGAAGGCTATCACAATTTACCACCAGACGATGCTGAGATATGAAGTCTTGTGTATAGATTCGCTTTCTTGATCTGCCCCTGGCAGCAAAGCTGTTGTAAAGGATACAATTTGTCCCGCTCAGTTCGTCCTGGAATGATGGAGGGGTGTGAACTGATATTCCTGGGCACGGAGTAACAGTTGAACCTTCCGTGGATGATATTCAGTCCCTGTTCAAATCCGTTTGCAGAGAAAGCAGAGAAAACCTACCACTAGCTGCTGGATCATATCCCTCCCGGTATTTTCTCTTTCTGATCCGTTCTTATGGAATGACTACCTTGACTACGTTGAAGTCCCCAACAGCGAGTGTGACTTCGCTCTTTTTACCAATTCTTTTCCGTGTCTCGAACTGGAAAAGGACATGTTGCATTTCGTCTTCTGTGAGGTTTTTGCGCCAACCCCATTCTTTGAATTTCCTCTCGTACTGACCCTTCCTGGATCATGTCATCAGCATACGAAGATGGAAGGGGCTACATTGGCCTCACGATGCAATAAATGCATGCTCTTCTTTCATCCATCGAATGAAATCAGAATTGAGTGGTTTTCCTCCGTGCCAAGCATAGAAAAGTGTTTGCTTTACTGCCAGCCACTCGTCGTAAGAAGGTGCCATTTTTATCAGAGGTCTGAGAAGCCTTGATGCAATCCGCAGTTACGTGAGTGAATAATCTCGGAAATACTCGCGATGCTGTAAGGCCTTGGTCGGGTTCCTTGATCTGCACAAGGCTGTGTACAAAGATAAGATGAAGAATCCAAAATCTTCTAAGAATGAACATTTAAGTGTTGATAAGATAAAAGACCACAAAGCCTTCTTGATCCTAGAATTTCGGTCTTGTTATATTCATCGGTTGAGAGCGTTGGAGTGAGAGATGGGATCACTTCCTGGGCTCTGCCATAGCCCAATTTACAAGAGGAAACATAGTTACAGTATGCAGCCGCACTCCAACCTTGCTTTTCAGGGGCGCTCAGCCCAAACACTTGCCAGGGTAACTTCGGAGACACGGCTAAATCCTTCCAGTAATATTCCAGTATTTATATCGTCACACAGCATCAGCCACATCCATACCCCAAGAGTAGCGCTTTTTTGAGGCGGAAAGTCCGAAAGCTTGGCTGGATTTTTCCGACATCGGGAAGTGGACCTCTATTAGTTTGTTTCGATTAACACGCAGGTAATTTAGCCGTTTATTTGGCGCTACGGTATAGGGAAAGGCGTTCTGATATGTTGGTTGAGCATGCGAAGAATGTCTAAAGGCTTACAGGGACAGAATATTCGTATGTGCGGCGAGTTCATCCCATCTCATGGCTTCATCCTAGACTATTTAACGAATGCCAGAAAACGGAAACCTATACTACTCCTAAAGATAGGAGTTGTGATGGTTGCCCCGCGCGTACACCTCGGTAGGATGCCCTAAGCATGTAAGAGAAAAGATACGCACGGTCGTTGAATAATCTGCACTGTCTGGAATAAGCGGACTATCAGTTTTCAATTAGTCCGATGAGGGCCAATGAGCTTTATGCTTGTCAGGTAAAACAAAACTAGTTTGAGTGTTTACGGAATGAGGGTATCATGCGATGAGGACTTATTGTATGACAGGCATATCTCTCGCACTGCCTAGGAGCATGGTGTAATGCACGTGAGAACTCTCCAGACTTACAGCCTTGTTTTCTTTATCCAGTAGAGTACGACATGCTAACGATAGAGGAGAAACGTAGCAGTAAGGCTTTCCCTCAGAATGTTGTCTCCAAGCAAAATGCACAATGACAGATTTGGCGTGAAGAAGCTGGCATCACCACATTCCAGGCTCCTTAGAGAACAGCTTTATACTGGTCCCCAAAGAGCGAAGTCCGATCATGCAAAGCTACCCATTTAGCAACTCGCGAGAAGGACTTCTCGCCAGTACTGTAGGAGCCTGCAGTCAATCTACACCGTTCCGTGCTCCACCATCCCCAATTCCCCGGGCCCCTGCTCATGTACTCGAGTACCCTGACTAGATTTACGACTATAGATTCTCTTCATGTTTGGACTCGTGAGAGCGCTAATTAACTATTCTAACACCCAAAAACGATGTCACTTGTGGGTCTGTCTTTCATGAAAGATTGAATTAACTGAACCGAAAAAAAAGGCAACTACTTAGTGTTGTGCTGGGTCTACTTTCTCTTTTGCTCCACTTCCTTATTTGATCCACTTATAGCTCTGCTGCCTAAATGCTTCATGTCTGCCTAAACCTTACACTCTTTATATAAACACCTTAGATAGCTACCTTTTACAATGCAATCAATTCTCCATGACCTTCAGTACCCAATACCCTTTCAACCCAATACTTATCTTAACCTGAAAGAGCAGAGGAACGAGAGAAATATCTACCCCCATCTGTTTTGTGTATCAGGGGAGGGTTCGGCTGTGAAGTTTGTCCAAAATCTCAATGTCTGAGGTGACGATCATGCACTCATACCTAGTCCAGGATCTATATCACAGTGCGTCAGCTTACCACGTGGATTGGAGTGCCGGTGGCTTGGGGATCGAAAGATCCTCCTATGAAACAGCTAGGTTCTCGATAATACATACGATGCCTCACTCTTCTTGACCGCGAAGTGTCCAAAATCTGTGGGTTTGATAGGACTCGAAAAGGCGAACAAGATTAAGATTGGCGGGCCGGGCGTTTTTGCAGGCTTCGTCAGATTGATATTGAATGTCCAAAACATTACGAGGGCCGCCGTCTGGATGAGTGTTATAATAAACTTGACTGGAGGGCTTGAAAATGTCCAAAACATTGCCAGGGCCGTGTGATCTATATAATGGATTGAATTTCCGTCTCAATAGCTTTTTCTCCAGACTACATTCAGACCTTCATGATCAAGTCTTCTACACGAACAAAGGAGTTTACCGGGTATCATGTGCATCATGTCTCACGTGACTAAACAACCGAACAACACAACAAGAGCTCTCACAATGACAAGAAAATCGATCAAAAAGACGCTTTTGAAGAAGGTACCATCCCGAGCAACTTCTTGGAAGATAGTCACTAATGGGCTAGGATTCCCACGACCCATTCTTAAGAACAGTAAAGGTCCAGAGCGAGGACCCAACCCGCTATGTCGATTTCAAGATGAGGCTCGACACAGGATGCGAAGTGCACGATTTGATTGCATCTGAAGTAGTCGCTCAGCTCAACCTCAAGGACAAGATCGAGATCAACGAAGAGGCAATATGTGATACCCTAAATGGGGAACAACTTTGCTCAATTGGCACCATCCGACTTCATTGGAAGGGCAAACGGTTCAGAAAGATCTTTGATACAAAGTTCCATGGTAATATCGAACCCATTATCTTCGATTTCCAGATTCTTAAATGATCAGGAAGAACATTTCCCCTAACGCAAACTCCATAAGACACGTGCTAATCTTGTGCAGTGATTAACAGTCCTTCACTGCCATGGCAAGTAATCCTTGGCGCGGAAACAATCCATCAACATAGGATTCTGAAGTTCGAAGGGTTTGAAGGAGCACGGTCGTTTCTTAATAAAGAGAAAAAAGGCAAGTATTCTTGGGATGGCTTTTAAAAAATGAAAAATGCGAAACTAACCAAAGCATGAAATAGAAGACAAAGCAAATCGATCAGCACGAAAGGAAGAGCACAGGAAGGAGTGTGAGAAGAATGATACCAAAAAAGCTGCTCACAAGAAGAAGAAAGATGGAGATAAGGACGCGGGAAGGCGGGAAGAGTCCTCGTCCAACGGTTCTTGAGACCGATACAATGATGCTATGGCAAGAGGATGGGGGGAGCCAGCAATGCAGGCTTCTGCATTTCTTTTATTGAAATTTTCTCATGATTTTATGTCAGAAATAACTCGTAATGCAACAATACTATGCATGAATATAAATGTTGAAATTGTGGTTGTAGCGTATACAATAATGTTTCTTTCGCATGCCTTGTCCCCAAAAGATAGAATTCTCGACCATTGCGCACTCCGTTTGAACATATGAATTTGTATCCGTATGTTAAGCCGGCATCCGAATACACAAGAGTGAGGGGACTTGGGACTGTTCGACCACGCAGTGAATTCGTGTGCCCTGACAACGTTGGGTCAGCAGAAGCTGTTATACTGGCCATTCCATAGATATGTCCGCGGTTGTAATACCCGACGCCCTGGCGACGATTTACCGCCTCCCGTTAGGCCCGTTAGCAAACCCGTCTCTTCAGAATTTCAATGATATCAGGCTCCGTGATGTAGATATGTGTTGTGCTGGGTCTACTTTCTCTTTTGCTCCACTTCCTTATTTGATCCACTTATAGTTCTGCTGCCTAAATGCTTCATGTCTGCCTAAACCTTACACTCTTTATATAAACAACAAGTTTTGTACGGAACCTCTTGGTGGTAGTTATTCTAAATCGACTAAAACCCGGAATTCAGGTCACAGAGAGTACACCTACCAGTGCACAACAATCATACGCAGTGCTCGTAAGGTTGCGATTGTATTTGGCTACCGATTGCTGGACAAGGCCATGTTCCGCTAACAAGAAAGACTTGGGGCTGTAGCATTGCTCGTATATTACAGGGGTCGCTAGTACAACTTCGTTTAAACTGTCCAAAGTCAGGGTATGTAATATCAAGTGGGCAAGATATATTACGTAGTTGTGGCTGTTGTAAAAATTGTTTTTGTACTTATGATCGTTTCTGTTTCAGTCAATGCCCGTGGATGGTCCGCTACAACAACCATTACTGTACAAAATACGTGCGAGACATATTGTCCCGGCAGGATGTTATGCCAATTCCAGCGTTTCTTGTGGACTATAGACCGGAAGAATTAGTATAGCTCTGCCTGGTTCTATCAATAAGTAAAGAAAATACTTGACTAGAATGCCCAAAGACTTTTGAGAAAGATGCGCGATCTCCTTGGGGAGTAGCTTTGAGGATCAAGCGAGTCTCAGCGTCAAAAGTAGAGCAGCCTTCATAAGGGACGTAAACTTGCTCCCCTGGTGATTAAAATCACGACTTTCTGAGCGAAAGATATCCTACCACTGGCTACTTGCTCGGACTCTCATTTGAAGTGGTTTCTTGCAACAAAAATCTGTGTTCACCAGCTGAAGAATAAGTGGAAATAACGGTACCTGGTATAGCAGTATTAAAGTACTTGAATTCATCAGGGGTTGGAATAGTTTTTCGAGTTCAAGTAGTGGTCGATGTCTTAACAAAAACGACTGCGGCTATTGATATCAAGTGTTATTAGAGAAATTTTTAAGGCATGCCACGAAGACATAAGTATCTCGGACTTAAAAGCATCGCTGATCTGATGAAGTTGCGAATCAGGCCACAGGTGGTGCTAAACTAGGAGCCTACGGGACCTTTGGGTTCAGTGGATCCTAAATTTAGGGAGGATTTCTGGCGGTTTCAAGTCTGGAAGGAATATGGCTATATTAGTATGGAGGTACTACGCGAACTTACTTGTAGTTGTTATAATTTTGGTTGCTAACCACTAGTTAACATATCTCTTGAAGAAGACGTCGATTAAGCGAACCTATCTTGACAATGAGGTCAAATGAGAATCCTTTCTCTGCTACTGTCTCTATATGTGGGACTATGAATTCTGAATTATACTTGGTACGACAAGTATTAGGATAAAGTGATTTCATTTCAGATGTTGCTGCATGTGAAATGAGGGAGAGAAGGGGTAAAATGATGTAGGGAAGCATCATGCCAATAAGTTGCGGGAAGTGAAGTGCTTAAGAATCTCTTAAGGTCAGCTGGGAAACAATATGAAAATCGGACCTGAAATTTTTGAAGGGGATTTGCCACCCGGATCGTTGATTTGATGTCCGCCAAAGTTTTATTGTCATTCCCCGAATATATCAGATATGGAGTTAATGGTAACCATGAAATTTTCTTGCGTACATTCGATCTACAATTGTGGACTCAAATACCGCGAGTTGATCCCTCCTTGTCCAAACCTTCATCCAGAAAAATGATTCATACAAATACTGGGAGGTATTTCTTCTGATTGGGAGCGCAAGAAATCCTCGCCTAAACTTGCTAATTGTAGTGTTCTGTGTTCTTCCCTCCTTAAGGTGAGAACACATCGATTAGAATGCGATCATTGACTCCAACTTTCTGACTGTCAGTCTTGATTTAAAAAATAGAAGCAGAGTAAAAGCTAAGGAAGCTGTTTACAACGGCTGTTGTAAGGCTCATTTTGAGACACAGCTGATCCAATACGCACAGCTTAGTCGCCAAATGAGTAAGATCTTACTTGAGAGAAACATTTGCGAGGGTATTTCAAGTATAGCGGTAAGTGGAACTTGGAGTAGGAAACGCCTCTGCAGCTATCTACCCGCCAAATCTTCGTGTATATCTTAAAAAAAGCGTAGGTCTTAGCGACTTATGTGTCGAGGTGTCTTCAGCACATATGGATATTGAAGTTGGACAATTGTTGGAGTACAATTCCCTCAAATCCGTCCAAATAACGAGGTCCAGATAATAGTAGATTGACGAGGACGGATGTATGTTCGACGGCGTTTCTTTGAGCCTGGAAAGAAGCTGGGCAGCTAGGTGGACTCAGGAAGCTGCCCTTCTTTGAAAAGAAGTGTGAGTAGGATAATTTATGCCCCCAGAAATCTCGAAAGAGCCAACCCATCGCTGTTTTTAGAACTCAACTTACTATCTTGTTTTGTGTATGGACAGACTGAATGAAGATGCCTATTGATCTTTAATGTGAACGTATCGGAGATATTGCGTCGCAGAAAGATGTAACGCCGTAATCACGAGTGATCTGAAATAACATGATTTCTAAGAAAAAAAAACTATGAATATATATGTATAGCGTGTAGCATCAGAAGATACAAAAGATGGCCGTTGCTATTGTCGTAGACGTATCTTAAGAGAACGTCTAGTTTAAGGAAAAGGAGACTTTCTGGTTTGGAAGCTTGTTAACCACGGAAACTTTTGTTTTCTATGAGTGCCTATGTTATAACATATGTCATTACTCAGAACGGATAGACACTTAGACGAATTGTCGCACACGCTGTGAATGAAAGTGGAAGCCTGACATCAGAATACATATAAATCAACACACCTTGGAAACTTGAGATAAAGGGGAATCTTGGAGAGAATAAATTGTGAGGACAAGATGTTCTGTTCGCTGCAATGTCTATTCATTCAATCAGGCAACTGTCCAAAGCTTTCCTTTTCTCTTGTCTGCTTTTTGTTACAACATTTCACAAATCCAAGCGATCTTGCGGTTTGACACAATGACAGAGGCAACAGAATAAAGAGGATCATTATAAAGTGTCTCTTATCATGATAGCTACGATTGAACCGAAAGAAATGACGAAAGTTGTTATTGTATGACATAGAACTGTTAGATATAAGGCTCCAGAGATCGTTAACTACCCCCACACCAAAAAGAAAGCTTGGCACCACCAACGGACGCTTAAAAGATGCCCCAAAGTATTTCCTCAAAGCCCTAACCAAACTTATCCCCTCCCTTTTCTTTTCTTCTACTGAAACACCATGATGGTCTACCTATCAAATCCATTCTATCAGCACATCCAAACCCCTCGCGGCAATACTCGCTAAAACACTCAAATCTCCCGCCGCTCGTTTGCTTAACTCTAAAGATTGATCCTCCCGCTAGTTTCTAGGTTGCTGTTGAAAAAGCTTGTTTTGGAGGTCAGGAGGTCTCTCCGGGTCTGAGGCCACTGACTCTTGAAAGACTTGCAGGCTGAAAAATGGGAGATGGAGAATATTAACTTTCGTCAAGATTGACTTACGAGAAGATTGACTTTCGAGGTTTTGGAAGGACAGATTGAGGATTGTACCACTTTAGGCTTCGTTCTGGAAAAGTTAACGAAGTAGAAGCTTTGGGAATGGATGGTGAGTTTGGGAAAATCAGGTTTTTGAACGTGGATTTCAAGGATCACCTTGAGTTTGCTTTTTGGAGATCTTGGTCATAATTATGGTGCAGACTTCGACGCCTTTGGGATAGACTCATCGGACAGAGAAGTTGGTTCGATTGATTTTGATAGAACTTCTATTACCGCAAATATTCTCGACCATCTAACATACCCATATTCCGACCGAAAAGACATCTAACACAGAACAAGTGAAAGCACTAAGGACGAATAGTTCCAGCACCTCAGCCACTTCTAAGATATGCTTCCCACCTATATACTAATCTTCTAGGTTTTTTCCGTACCTTAAAGTACCTACTTTCGAGTCAGCAGGTCAGAGTTTTCAACCCTAAATAGTCAGACGACGAGACAACATAACTGCCGTATAGCATTCTGCGAGTATACGGTGAACAAGCTTCTCGAGCCGCGGAGAAAGAAAGAGCTATAGATGAAGACCGTTGAATGTCATGTCCAATTATAGGCTTGTTCCACGTGGGAGATGAGGAGTCAAAAGGGGAACGATATAGGAGCCTAGTGGTGATGGTTTTCGGAAACTTGCAGGGAACGACAAGTCTAGATGTGCGTATCGACCTTTCTTGCAGAACTGAAAATTCCTGAATTCGCCTAACATTGCTACTTCTGGCCTGGAGTGTGTTAAGAGATCCCCGTGATATTCCTCCTACGAGAACACGAACTTGAGACTCCTCATATACAGTTTGACAGCTAACCCGTATAGGAAGTCAACGCGTCCCGAGCATTCTACCTGTCGGAGACTCGGAGTACTCAAAACACAGAATTAGCTTTATCAACTCGGGCCGGTTAGGGTTAGTGTTAGGGTTAGGGCTAGGTGTCAGGGTTA